GCCCCAGACTGGCTTAAAGAACCCTACACTCTGAAGGGCCCTGTGTTTGGTTTAATGCTCTGCTCTGCTATTGCCAACTGACATTTTTAATACCTTCTGAATAAGGGCCCTATGTTTTCATTTTGTTGTTATTGTTAGGTGCCATCAAGTCAATACTGACTCATACCAACCTGATGTACAACAGCACAAAACACCGCCCAGACCTGCGCCATCCTTACAATCCTTGCCATGCTTGAGCCCATCGTTGCAGCCACTGTGTCAATCCATCTTGTTGAAGGTCTTCCCCTTTTTTGCTGACTCTCCACTTTACCAAGCAGGATATCCTTCTCCAGAGAATGGTCCCTCCTGACAACAAAGTAGGTGAGACGAAGTCTGGCCGTATTGCGCTAGGCCTCACAAATTAGGCAGCTGTCCTGATTCCAATCAACACTCCTAAGAAATAGCCACCATGAAAGTTTCAGCCACCTGAAAAGGGAAGGGCTGAGCCCAGCTTGTGTGAGAAAAGGTAGAAGGAAGGTTAGGAAATGCTTGAAGGAAGGGCCAGTTGGATCCCAATGGAGGAGGTGAGCAATGTGAACAAAAGGGCCGAGGCCAGGAGGCTGGTAAATTTGATCCACAGCAAGGGGTTGGGCCTGTGTGTGTGTGGGTGGGTGTGGCTATGTGTGAAGTGGTGTGTGGGTATATGTAAGAGTGTGTGAGTGTGTGGTGTATGTGTATGAGTGTGAATGTGTGTCATATGTGTGTGCTGTGTGTGTATATATGTATGAAAGTGTATGTGAGTGTGGTTTATGGCATAAAGAGTGTGTGGTACATGTATGTGTGGTGTGTGTGAATGTGTGTGGTATGTGTGTGAGGTGGTGTGTGAATGCGTGTTGTATATATGTATGTGAGTGTATATGGGAGTGTGCATGAGTGCAGGGTGTGGGTGGTATACGTGAGTGTGTCGTGTATGAGTGTGTGAGTGTAGTCCATATGTGTGTGAAGGTGTGTGGTGTGAGAGTGTGGGGAGGCAGTGGCCAGGGCAAGGAGAGGCAGGGAGAGTCACGGGGCAGTTTAACAAATATTTATCAAGCACCTTCTCTGTGCCAGGCGCTATGCAAGCTGCTGAGATGAGTAAGCCCCAGTCCCTGCCCAGAGGTGCCCACAGCCCTATAGAGAAGTTGTTGTTATGTGCCGTGGAGTCAGACCCAACTCATAGTGACCCCTCCTTGGGTTTCCGAGGCAGTATCACTACGGAAGTAGATTGCCCAACCTTCTTTCCAAGGAGTGTCTGGAGGGTTTGAACCACCAGCCTTCTGGTTAGCAGTCAAGTGCCTTAGGCACTACGCCAGACATGTAAAGATAACTAGAATAAAAGAATAGATTAAAATAGCTCCTTAATAAAAATATAACCACTTTACCTACTTCACTGAGGAGGGCAAGTGAAACAAAATTTCTCCTGAATTGGGTGGGAGGGGTGGGGCTGCAGGGCGAAAATCCGAAAATCCGGGAACTATCCTAGGGGAGGCAGCAGCAGACAGGAGGCCTGGTGGCAAGCCCAGCCCCCAGCAGGCACACCCAAACTTGGGAGGGGTGACCTCTCTCTGACCTGCACAGCAACACACCCAATCCCCACAGAAGCAGATAAGAGGTGACCAGTGGCTGGGGCAGGATCTAACAGCCCAGCCTCATGCCCTCCTCCCACAACCCTCAGTCAACGAGCTGAAGGGACACAAACCCTGCTAGTCCCCTCCCCCACACACACCATCTCTAGGTGGGAGTCCATTCAGAGGCTCCTAAACCAGTGAGAGTTGCCAGTAAGGGTGGCTGACGCCTGACTCCCTGAGGTGCATGGAGAATGAGGAGGGCCTGCCTGGGGGTTCCGGACTTGATGTGGGTTGGGGGCTGTGCCTGCGGCTCTGCAGTGTTCCGAAGGGGTGGAGTGTGAGTAAAAAATATGTCCCTTTGGGGTGGTAAGAAGGCCTCTTACTACCTCCTCTTCCCCAGAGCTGCCCTCTGACAGGCATCCTCCCAGACCCCCTCCCAGAGTACACGGCGGGATGGGGTGCTGCTGCCTGAGCTCTGGCCTGGGGGCAGGAGTCCTGGGTCTGGTCTCCACTCAAGCCAGGCTGGTGACCTTGGGCCCAGCCACTAACCTCATCAGTGAAATGGGGACACTCAATCTCCTCAGAGCTCTACGGTGAGGATCAAATAAGATAATAGGATGAGGAAAGCACCCCATAAAACGACAAACAGCAGGACAAAGGTCAGAGTATCGTGCTGTTTGGTGCAGCTGCCTTTCCAGTTCTTTGGCAGCAGATTACAGGGCTGGGCTCCATATTCTCAGCCCTCCTCTCTGACACGTACCCTAAGTGTGTCTCTAAGTGCCATGGAGTCGGTTCCAACTCATAGCGACCCGAGGTACAGCAGAACGAAACACTGCCAGGTCCAGCACCATCCTCACGATACTTGCTGTGTTTGAGCCCACTGTTGTAGCCACTGTGTCAGTACAGCTCATGGAGGGTCTTCCTCTTTTTCGCTGACCCTCTACTTTTAAGCATGATGTATTAGTGTCCCCTGTTTCTAGAGCTGAAGAAACTAAGGCTTAAGGGAGGTATAGCAAGTGTGCCCTGGGTCCCAAACGCTTACCTCCCATGTCTTGCTATGTGACATTAATAGCACAGGTGACCTCACCTAATGTGTGAGGACCCTGAGATATTCTCCATAGAAAATTCAGCACAATGCCTGTTGTTGTTGTTGTTATGTGCCGTCGAGTCAGACTCGACTTGTAGCGACCCCTCCTTGGGTTTTTGAGGCAGTATCACTATGGAAGTAGATTGCCCCATCTTCCTACTGAGGAGTGGCTTGAACCGCCAGCCTTCTGGTCAGCAGTCAAGTGCTTTAGGCACTATGCTACCAGAGCTCCCAGCACAATGCCTAGCACATATTAATTTTAAAAGAAATGATAGTTATCATCAGGCTAAGGTTCTCTAGTCAGTAAAGTAGTCTGGCCAGGATTGGAGCCAGGTCTGTTTTAGGCTAAAACCTACGCTCCTACCAGCTACCCTCTTGGGCTAACTCAGTCACATTTTAGAAGGGAAATGTAAGGGACATCATCTTCTCCTAAAATGGCTTTAGAAGATCATAGGTTCTTTCATGACCCCATTACTGTCTCCAACCAACAACCCTATGTCCTTCCCACCCTCCTCCAGGGTAAGCCCTCTTTGTAGACATACATTTACACAGCCTTCTCAAAATCCCTTTTTCACCCACATCCCTTCAGCAAATGATCTAGTGTCTCTAAAGCAACTGAACAACACTTCAAACTTCCCAAATGAGTATTCAATATGCTCCATGGAATCTGAAGGCCCAAACTTAAGGAAGTTTCCACCTACAAGGGTATTCTTCATGAACCAGCCTATAGCACACATCAGTAAAATGTCCTTTCTAATACCTAAATGTAATTATCACTGTGGAAACAGAATAGCATAGTTCTAGGATCTGCAGAGGATTGTGTTAGAAAAGCCTTAGCCCAGGAGAAGGTCCCAGGGCAAGGCTGCATGGTATCACCAAGGTACTGCCTGAGTGACCATGGCCACGTCACTGGCCCTATTGAACCTGTTTTTACATCTGTGAAGTAGGAATAATAAATCTCCCTTCTGGGGAAAAGATTACATGAAGCAAGTGGCATTTGGCTTAGAGTAGGCTTCCAACAAATGTCAGTTCCTTCCCCCATTCCTTTCTCACCTGTTTTTCTCTCCACACGACCATAACTCTGATTTCACGTCAGACAAACGAAAGCTAGGATTCGTATTACAGACGTTCAGCTTAAAGCCAGCTTGGCTGGAATGCAAAAGCCATCTATCCACAGGCCAGACATGCAATTCTAGACTTCTTAGAAAACATTGGGTCCAGCCCCAGCCTTCCAGTGAGGAAGCAGGCCTAGAGAAGACCAACTTGGCCAAGGTTACAGACCCAGTATGTGGCAGCAGCAGGACCAGGCCCCGATTGTCAGCTTCCTAAGCTCGTGTCCCTGCTTGCACGAAGAAGTCTTGCAAGCTCTCTCATTCGTGTGATGGTCTTCCCGTTTACTTTGCTCTCTTCCCAGACGTTCCCATTACCATCACCAATGTGTCTGTGAGCCTAGCCCTTCAACTATAGGAAGGTGTACACAGACCCCCTTGGGTCTGCCTCTGTCCTCACCTTCAGCCCAGTAGGACCCTGCCCTGCTCCCCCACCGATCCCATGACCCAAGCCAATCCAGAGGCCCAAACTTCAAGACACAGATAGCTAAGACAAAGGTTAGAAAAAGCCGAGAAGGCACTTTATTGGAGGTCTCTACCTCCATCCCTAAGAAGGAGGAGCCAGGAGCCCCACCCTGAGGGTCCTGGCATCACCCACCCCTCACTGGCCAAGCCAAGGGCCTACAACACCCAGTCTGACCACCAGTGCTCAGTGGGAGAGGAGTGGGGAGGGGACTGTCATAGAAAAAATAGATCTCTATGTACATTCTGACATATTTATAGCACATAAATTAGGGAGTGCTCTGACCCCCGCCTGCGGAGTCCATGCACTGAGAAGAGAGGTGGAGGCCAGTACTGGGAGGTCACTGGAGGATCTCGTCCCATCCTCACTCACAAGGTGCTCTCCTAAGGCTCCCCAGCCTCCTTGGCTCAGTCCAGGCATCAGCCAGAGGAAGGTATAGTCTGCAGTTAATGTCTGGGATTGGGTTTGAGGAGGCGCCAAATAAAAGAAGCTGCACTTGCAGCTACAGTCAGCAGTTCAAGTGGCTTCAAACCCCAGGGCTTGTAATTCCAAGAGGACAGAGAGGAGAGGCCACAGGCCCCATATCCCAGGACAGTGGTTGACAATAAACCAACACTTCAGCTTCTATCCACAGAAGCACACAGGGAAGCGTGCCCAAGTTGGGGCAGCCACCACGCCCAGCTGTCCTCCTAGGAGGGCTGTAGGCCTTGAGTCCATGAGTTCCATGAGTTTGGTCCCAGGTCTAATTCAGACCCTCAGTTCCGACTTCCAGGAACCTCTTCCTCTTTCCAGCCACTGGAGTTTTTGCCAAACTTGTAGACAAGCCGCCGGCCGTCCACTCGTTCCAGGATCTCCCGTTTATAGTAGTACCTGGGGTGAGCAGAAGGGTGGTCAGAGGGTTCAGGCAGGAAACATGCCCTGTGGTGTGGATACCTCCCACCTGTCCCAGGTTATCCTCAAGTGACTTGTCCCCACTGGTTTCCAACTAGACTAACCTGCCTCTGACCACTGTGGCTCAGCCTTGCTGAAATTACTCTCTTTCTTACCTGCAAGGGAAAGCTCTCTTTACTCCATCACTGCTCTCTGGCCTATAATTGTGTCCTGGTTCTGCCTTTGTTTCTTAGTAACTTATGGTTGTGTCCTGGGGCTCATCATGACACTGTATATTTCAGGGTTGAGAGGGACCTCTAGAGATGAGCCTGTCCACTCTTGTACGCAGGAGGAGACAGGCCCAGAGACAAGCTGCTTCAGTAGTGGGAGGGCCAGGACTTAAGCATGGGCTGTGGCAAATATTCTATTACTCTATAAACACCTTTCTTAGGCACTTGCAGACAGGACAGAGAAATGTTACTGTTGGTTAAAGTTTACTGAGGGCTTTCTATGTGCCAGGCTAAGTACTTCCTCCATGTAAGCATTTGATTATATGAAGCAGATATCACCAGTCGCTGGCAAGTAGATTCCAACTCATGGCGACCCCATGTGTGTTAGAGCAGACCTGTGCTCCACAGGTATTCAATGGCTGATAGTATGGAAGTAGATCTCCAGGCCTTTCTTCCTAGATGCCTCTGGGTGGATTCAAACCTCCAACCTTTCAGTTAGCAGCCAAGCATGGTAAGCATTTGCACCACCCGGGGACTCCATGAATTAAGCAGGCATTGCTATTATCCAAACTTGTTGGATGAAATAGGATTCGCAGAGGTTGGTGGCAGCGGTTGGGAGAGAGCAGGGGGCACACAAACACCATTCTGTCCCTGTCTCGTCCTGGATCCCCACGGTGACCTGCCAGGGTATGGGGTCCCAGCCATCAGCTCACCTCATGGCCCGGCTCAGCTTCTCATAAGTCATGCTGTTGTTCTTTTTCTTTTGACCCCACAGCTGGGCCACAGCCTCGGAGCGCAGGAACTTGAAGACGCCCTCGTGCCGGTTCTCCCACTTCATGAGACCCTCGTTGAGCTCTGGGTGGATGAGGATGTCCCGGATAAACTCCCACAGGTGGGTACCTCTGGGGGCTGTAAGGCCAGATGCCCTCGGTCAGTGGGTCAGTGTGTGGGCTTTGTACCCCACTGTCACCACAGGCCAGCTGGCCCTGCCATCTCAGCACGCTGCTTACTAAGTCTGATGCATGAAAGGGGCCTCACTTGGCACCATGTATTTACTAGCTTCTTCCCTCCTTGCCTCTCCACTGGATGGGAGCCCCTGGAAGACTTATACCATATCTTACACAGCAACATCCATTTTATTCACTCAAACATCTATCAAATGTCTGATCAGGACAGACAGTGACTGAGACACAGTAGGGCCCAGAGGAGCTCCTGGTCCAGTGGGGGCCACGGTTAAAAAGCAAACACACCTAATGGTGGTAAGTGCTACCATAGTAAGTACAGGGAGCAAGAATTGGCCACAGCCTGGAGGGTCAGGGGACAGCTTCCTGGAAAAAATACACACATATAAACACACACACGCACACACACACACAGAGACAACCAAGGACAAGAGAAAATAGGCCAAGTGTGTGTGAGCAAAAGCAGAGAGGCAAGAGAGACCACGGAGCTTTGTGGCAACCTCCTGCTGGTTCCCAGCCACTGGAGCATACAAGGCCTGACCCCTGTGGACTCAGGCCAACAGGGACAGAAGGACTGGTGGCTGGAGAGGTTGCCCACTCCTTGGCCCTGAATAGGCTGGGAGTCCAGCAACTTTCATGTTCTTTGTCTGGAGACTCAGCCCACTGTGGCCCCTTCTGGCCCTCCCTGACACACATCAGCTTCCTCCTCCAACACAAAAGTGTCCCAGCAGGCAGCACAGGGGCCAAATGCAGAGAGAACTAGAATGGGTTGGGCAGGAAACCTGGACCTTTCTCTAGGAGCTTCAGTTTCCCTCTGCTCCATGACCACCCAGCCAGGCCGAGCAATAAGGTGGTGGCTGTTAGCAGCCATCATGAGAGCAGGTGGCAGTGCAAGAGTCAGAGAACACAGGAGGAGGAGCATTATCAGCAGCGCCACAGTAAACCCTTCCCACCGTCCGCCAGGCCCACCCCCACCCCCCACCTCCCAGGAAAATGGGTGACCCAGGACCCACCATGCTTGCTCTTCTTGCCCTCCAAACACTCCTGGGACTCTTTGCTCAGTTTTCGCGGCCGGCCCCGTTTCCGCTTCCCATGCTTGGAGTCCCCCTTCTTATAGCTTGGAAAGCCACCTGTGGGGAACAGAGGTGGTCTGTCAGGGGGCAGGGTGGGTGCCAGGAAGACCAGCCGCTCCACACGAAAGCCCAGATATTGCCCAGTGAAATAACTTCTTGGGGCCCAGAAGCCTCCCTGAACTCACCACTGGGGAAGAGCTTGCTGCTGTCATTGGGATCCACGTCCAGGTCGCTTCCACCAGAGTCTGAGGAGTGTGAGCTCTGAGGTGTGCCAGTGCCTAGGGGAGGCAGGCCAGGGTGAGGTCTCACATAGCCCACGGCCTCTGTTAGGCATGCTGCACCCCCATTCCTGCTTCTCCCAGAAAAGCCTGGGTTCTAGCACTGGGACCTAAGGGGCTCAGGGCATTTAGGGCAAGGGAGATGTGGATCAGACAGTGTTCTCACCTGCAGTGGAGACATCTGAGCTGCCAGGGGAGGGGGCCCCTGCGCCATAGCTGTTGGGGTACTGGCAGTCCTCCAGCAGCTCCTGGACGAAGGGGCTTGCCTGGTCTGGGAGGAGGAGATGAGAGTTCAAAGTGACTCAGGGGACTGTGCAGGACAGAAGAGGGATGCCCACAGAGGTCTGCTAAGTTGCCCTGTTGATATTTTTCTAGTTGGGAGACGAGTCTAGTGCATGTGGGGTCATCTCTTGTATTCTGTAAGTGTCAGAGATGGGACAGGACAAGGTGGGGAGAAGAGGAAAGTGGGTTCTCACCAAAGGGACCCGAGTTTCCTAGGGTCTCCTGGAAGGCCATGCCATCCTTCTCCAAGAGCTCAATGATCCAGCTGAGTTCATCAGAAGAACTGGGAGCTGGCAGTGAAGGAAGAAGAGGTCAGAGCCCAGGCTGCAGTCCACTCTCCTCACCCTCAGGGCTCCCCTCTGGCTGTGCCCTCAAGCCTGGATCTGGGGTCTTTCCCATCACTGTGCCAAATTCTGCTCAGCCTCTCTGAGAAGGAGGATCAGGAAAGAAGCCAGCCTCCTCCCAACTCCTGGGCCCCCTTGGCACCAGGAGCCTGGACTCACTGAGGTCCCGCAGCTGGGCGTGGAGCTGGTCCCCCAGAGGCCCAAACACCAGGCGCAGCTCCTCAAGGGCACAGCTGCAGAGTGTGGCCCCATCCATGTCACACCGTGAGAAGTCAATGGAGCTTGCGTCGTACTTGTTCTTCTCCACTTGGTAGCTGATCCAGTCCAGAACCTGGCCCTTGGACCAGAACTGAGGCTGCTCCCCTAACCAGCTGGCTTTCCCTACAAGGGGCCAGCACAGCAACGGGGTCAGCCCAGATCACCCGGCAAACCCTCCAAGCCCCCTTCCCTGGAGCCCATTTCGAACAGGAGAAAAGACTGGGAATCTGGCTCCTCAGAGAACCCTCCCAGGGGCAGGGGCAGGGGCAGGAGAAGGGGTTCACAGCAGTCACAACCCCATAACCTCACACCTCAGCCACTTACATCACCCCAGCCCCTAGCCCCCCGAGAACTGGTTCAGGAGACCTTCCTCCCTGCCCAAACCCACTTTTATCAAACAGACTCTCAAGATAGGGTCTGTCACCCCTTCGCCCTGCCTGAGACCCACCTGTGCCCTCCAGAGGCATCTGTGTGTTACTCAGGGTCAGCACCAGGTCATCGGCCCCAAAGGTGGCCGCAGGGGGAGCAGGTGCCAGAGTAGGGTCCTCCGAGCTATACATGGCACTGAAGTAGTTGCTGAAAATGTTGCTAATCTCACAAGTTGCAGCCATGAGGCTACCTAGGGACGGGGAAGGGACGGGGAAGAGATGAGTTGGTGAGGGACTAAGGTCCTTGCCTTACATTCCACCTACTGTCTGGCCAAGCCTAGGCAAGAAAAGCTGCTGTCTTGATAACCCCTGAGGGTCGGAAGGTGGACATCTCTTGGAGCACCCTCTCTTGAGGAAGGGTTCCAAAGTCTAAGAGCAAGGGGAGGTCACAAGACTCCCTCTGCTAGGGCTCCCTCCTCAGCCCACCTGGACCCTTGAAAGGGACTGGCAGACTCATGGCCACCTTGTCCCTCCCAGAAATCATCCCTCCACTCCCTGTCAGGTCACCCTCACTGCCCAACACTCCTCTGAGATTCTGGATTGTGGAGCTAGGTGGGCAGGTTCAGAACTGCAAATCCACAAGACCCCTCCCCAATTTCCCAAGGCCCAGACTAGGGATTATGACAGGTAGGGGTCCTACCAGAGTGGCGCAGGGTGTGGATGCAGCAGGCAGAAAGGGACAGCAGGCAGGTAAATAATCCAGGTGGTAAAATGCTTGCCAGGTAGTGTGAGGAGGTTGGCCTGCTCACCCCCACCCGCCTAAATAGAGTGTGAGCTCCTCCCCCTGCCTGGGCCTTTATAGTGCACGACGCTGGTGGTAACCTGAGCCAGTGGCTCATTGGATGGAGGGGATTTCCTGGCCTTTAGACTGGGCTCTTGGCCCCAGGTGATTTGCATATTATGTGCCACTTGGCCCGGATCCTAGCAGGAGGTGCTGGGAAATCAGGCCCGGCTGGTTTAATGATTGTCAGAGTCTGTAATCCCACACCCTCTGGGGTTGGGCACAGGGCACTGGCCTGGGCTGGTGGTGGGAGAGTCAAAGGGTGGGCATCTGTGCTTTCAGTCACCCCCTACCTCAGGAAATTTCCTCCCCGGGGTCAGGCCAAAGATGGCTGGGGAAGGGGAAGGGTGGGGGGGCGGAATCTGAACCTCTGGCTGAACTGAGTCACAAGTACGTTGTTAGTAGTTGTTGTCATGGAGTCGATTCCAAGTCTGTTGTGACTCGTGGCGCCCCCATGTGCAGAGCAGAACTGCTCAATAGGATTTCAAAGACGTGACCTTTTGCAAGCAGATCACCAGGCCTATCTTCCGAGGCATCTCTGGGTGGGTTCAAACCACCAATATTTTGGGGAGTTGTTGAGCCTCTAACCCCTTGTGCCACCCACGGACTCCCTGAGGACAAAGAGGCCAAAGAGGGAGAAAAGTTACTGAGGTTTATAGATTTTCCCAACACCTAGGTTTCTGGGCGCAGATGGGGAGACTCTCCAGACCCAACATCAGACAATATTCAGGGGCGAACGGCGGGACCCATGCCTGCCAGCCTAGCCCTGGGCCTCCAAGGTCCCTAGTCACAGGGCCCTCTCGCTGGCATCAACTTTGTTGGCAAGGTCTTGGCACACTCTTGCCTACCTGAATCCCATCCATCCAACAGTGTTGCTGCGGCCACTTCTGAAGAGACCTATCTTTGCTTAAATGTTCTTCCGTCTGGCCCTGATGGAGCCCTTCTTGACTAGGGGCTGCTGGAGGTGCTGGAAACCGCAGTGATCTGTTTATTCCTTTCTATCTTGTCCCCTATGTAATCCCTAATTCACGCTTCCCAGTTTACCAGTGCCTGTTTGCTGCCCTCTAGTGGCAAAAAAACCATTCACAGACTAAAAAGGAACACGCAGGAATAATGTTATTTGCCAGGCATTTTTACCATATTCTCCAATTTAATCCTCACAAAAACCCCGTAAGGGATGCACAATGATCCCCATTTTATAGGTGGAGCTCAGAGGGGTTGAATGATTGTCCCAGGATGCACCCAACTAGTCCAGTGGTATGACTGAGATTTTAAAACCCAGGTATGCTGGGTGCTCAGCCCCAGCGCTGTCCCTATACCATATGCCTCCTGGCTTCAGAACCTGTCTTCTCAACTCCATGGAAGAGCCCTTGACTTCCTTATGCGCAAAGTAAATCCCCTATGTGTATTATCCTCTCTATGGACTCAGCCCACAAGGTTCTATAAACCCCCCTTGAGATTTTGGGGGTGGGGGTAACATAGCATAGTGAGTTGAAAGGCAGATTTGTAGGTTCCCACAACTCTGGTCTTGGACAAGGTTCTGCACTTCAGTTTCCCCATCTGTAAAGTGAGGAGATTTTTTGGGCTTAATTCCTACAATCTTCCAGAACTAGTTTTTTTTAATGCATCTATGATGTAGGATCTTTGTATCTCTCCTTTCCACTCCTTTATTAATGCCCACAGCCTCAGCTGGCCGATAGATAGCACACTCAGCCCAGGTGGGCAGAAAGGTTCCTGAAACAAAAGGTTACTCCCATTCCACAGATACCCCTTTCTTTAACTCTACAGCCTGAGGACTAAGAAAGTCCATCCCAGGCAATCTGTTTCTTATTTTCCTTGTCTCTGAAACTACTGGGTGCTTAGGAGAAAGGGGGGTTAAAGTCCAGGGTCCCCTCCACTGGGCCAGGGGTGGCAGGACAGCCTGGGAGGCTCTGGCAGTAGGATTTTTCCCAGCCCTTCAGGGGGCCACCCCCAAGTAGCCTGAGGCAGGCACACCCTCTGCCCAGTCATTCACTCTGGAATGTGGGAGAACCGGCTTCTAGCCCCAGGACTGCTCACGTGCTCCTGGCCCTAAGGATGGGGTGGGTTAAGGAGGATGTATAGAGAATAATTAAGGAGACTGCTCCCTTGCCTTCAGGGGGCTTAACAGAAGAAACAGAGCAGAGGCTTATGAAACCTTACCTCTGAGTATTAATGCCTTCAGTCGCCAAGTGAATGTTAAGGAAGGTAGGTGGGAAAGACTTGGATGTGAGGTCTGTCTTGGGAGGGCTAGGGATGGGGGATGGGATGATTCCAGGACAGTGGTCAGAGGATCTATGGAGTAGGAGGCAAGGGCCCTTCCTGATACTCTGCCAATGCCAAGGACAGCCTGATGACCCGCCCCCACAGAGCTGCCCCAGCAGTGGCACAGCCTCATCCTGGGGACAGCAGAGAGGAGCCAAGAGCCTCTCCCCCAGCCCTCTGAGAACAGGAACATCCAACTGGAATGCTGGTAGACATGGTGGGTGGGAGAGGCCACACAATCCCAGAGCCATGCTGTGAAACGTGAGGCCTCATGACAAAGTGATGGAGTCAAAGAACTGTTTTCAGAGGATGAGCTTCCAGCTCTTTGCTTTCACAATGACTCTTCATTATTACTGGGTTCACTGATGCCGTAGGTTATTTATACAGAACAAGGAAAAACAGCTACTGGTCTCAGAGCTAAACTTTACCCCTGCAGGCATCAGGATAGCCATTAAATAGCCCTCACCTATACCATACTGACAGGCAGCACCCTGAAAGAGCTACCAAGGAGTAGCTTTAATGATCCTGGCCCTGCAAATTCCAATCTTAAGACCCCAAACACCCTCCCTCTCTGTTGATGAAGCTCTGGGTGTCTCATGGTTCAGAGCCACTCAGCTAGCCCCCTGGTCACTACTACTTCCCTGCTTTTGCTAAGAGAACAAATCTATTTAAAAGGCTGTGTTCTTACCCAACCCCTATGCAAGGGGAGGGCGGAGGCCTGTATTGATAACCTCAAAGCCAAGGACAGAGCCACAAAAGGAGAAGCTTCAAGGGTACCCTGGTATTTAAAGAAAGGCAACTTAAATGCTATACTTCAGTATTTCTGTGTAACCGCCCCTCACCACACCACCAAACTCCAGTTACTAAGTGCTTAGGTCCACGAGGTAAAGTCAGGAAATCACAACTTAGTGCCAAGTTATGACTAGACTTTATTTACCATTAAAACAGTTATCCCAGAACACAGGCAGGGTAGGCCCAGCGAAGCCCAGGGATATTGAGAAGGCTAGGAGTTGGGCCGACTCGTCGGCACATAACAACAACAACAACAACAGGAAGTAACACTGGAACCCGCATTTTTTTCAGTGATAGATTAGTGATACTGCAGGTAGGGAATCAAGCAGCCGTCCCAGGGCCCAGGAGCGTGATCCCTTTGTACACCATTCTTGCACCAGGTTGCCCTGCCAGTCATACTTCCACGCTTCATATGCATGTGTGGGATCCCCACTTATATAGCCTGGGGATTGCTTGGGCAAAGGGACACTATCATTCTCTGGGTCTCCTCCACTGACCTTCTCAGAACACCCAAACACAGAGGGGACACCTGGTAGAAGAAATCTAATAGTCACTCAATCCATAAGCCCAACTGCAATACTTTCTACTTAAAAACATTTATTAAAATAAGATCAAACCCAAGAAGAATTACAAGAATGCCAGCTTTTTGCATAGTATCTAAAGAATCAGCAAAAAAGAAATAATAAAATCCACTCTGCAGACATCAGTGTGGAGGCAGGAGAAGGCCGTCTGTGCATTGAGGAGAGCCGTGGGGAGTTCCCTGGGCTTAGCCCTCAGTGTTCCAGAGAAGTTCCCACCAGAGCAGTGCCCTGAGAGTCACAGACACCTAAGCCCAGAGAACAGATTATCCTGAGGGGATATAAACTTCAGGAAGTTGACTGGAGAACTGGCAGTTGGGAACAAATGATTATTCTGACAGCCTGTGAAGGCTGAAGTAGCAGCAGCCACACACTGAGCCTCTAACTGCTCTTGGGCTCCAGGATCTGCTGGATGTAGTTGACCACGTTGCTGTGGAGCTGGGAGGCGGTGGAGGCAAAGGTCTCTTTGGCGAGGGCCCAGGCCACCTCGCTGCCACTCATCATCGCGTGGTACAGCGGAAGGGTGTACTTCTGCTTCCCCTGCGTGAAACACACACACACACACACACACACGGCCTAAGCAGCCTGTTCAGTGGATCTGGCCAGCCCTCCTGTCCCCTGGTTCCAGTGTAACAGCACTCATGGTCAGGTGCCAAAAGGGACATGGGTATCAATGCTGGAATGAGGAGCCTCCCAGAGCATGCAGTGCTCATACTGTGGCATCTCTTCAGATGCCAAAGACCCATGGA